TACTGCCATAAAAATAAAAAAAGAAACAGATAAAAGATTGGCGTTACCTTACAGTTCTCATAGAAAATATATTCTGAGATGAAAACCAACAGAATTTTAAAACACAACTGATTATGTTTAAATCTCATAAAATGTTAGGGTTTTTATAATCCCTGTTGCCAGAATCCAGCACCTTTATCACATAGTTAATGGGGTTGCATTTCCACCTTACGCTTATTAACAGGGCACTGCTTTCATTCACTCTACATTACAAGCAGGAAAGCTCTTCATCAATTGGAGCCAAATCAACAGATGAAACACTTCCAAGAGAGAAGACGTGCAAAGGTGCATTCATTTGTCTCCCCAGGTATTAACCTCACGTAGCAATTACCTGTCTGCGCAGATCTCTGGTCTTTTTGGTCATTTTATCAATGGCAGAATTCAGTGCATCACTTCTTTCCTTGCGTCCAGCCTGAAAAACAAGAGACAAAGAGGTAAACAGGCATTCAGGGTCTCCACGTAAAAAACAGAATGATTTATTTTGAGAAGACTGTCAGCTGCATTATTATTACTTTTAAGTGATTATTCAAGTTAGAAGCAGAGTTTCCACCTCCTTGCCCAAGCATTATTCTTCCTGGCAGGCTCGAGCAGTTCAGGAGCATCTGACAACATAAGGCTGCATCCTTTAACACTCTTCAGCTTCCTTTCTGGAGGAATAGATGCTTTCCTACATCTAGGCTGCTTTCTGCTCCTCATCAGCCAGAAACTGTATTTAAACAGCTAAGTTTAGATTTCTCTTCTCTGACAGCTCTGTCGACAACCACACAGCTTGCTGTGTATCTCCAGTCCCCAGCAGCTCTTCCTGCCTCAATGCTCGACCTTTTAGGACCAAGGGAGATGGACGGCACCCCAACATCTCCCCTGGCAGACGGAGGCACCAGGTGGTGCAGTACAGCAGTGCTCCCTGTGCTGCTCCCCGCCTCGCCAGCACAGAAGGTTGTTCTTCAGCAGTCAATCGTAAGCCAAAAATCAATTATATTAAAGGTAAAATCCTTATAAAACATTTGTCAGGGATGAAATCCCAACATCAAATAAGCATCCAGGCTTGCCTGCTGGGACCTGGATTTCGCCGAGTTCGATCCAGCAAGTTTCACATTAGCACCATTGTTAAAAAGAGGGAAAGGGGCCAAGATGCAGTGGCAGCTTCCTTCTTCCTAAGCAGACAGTGTGCTGAAAATATCTGAATTTGTATCAAATCGGGAGTGCCAGATAAGGCAGCGGTGGTCTTACAGTCTCACAGGGAGGGTTTTTCTGTACAATACAGCTTCTCTGAGAGTTATGTGCTGTAAGCTTTATGCAACCACAAACTAATTTCTGAACTTCTAAGCCACGATCAATATAATTATCCAGTGGAGAAAAAAGAAAAAAAAAAACACACGCAACAAAAACCAGCAAAACCCATTTTACAGCACTACAGCGAGGCTATGCCAATTATCGTTCTGCAGATGCCAGGCTGGTTTGAAACACTCACATAGGCAGCCTTGAATTGAAATCACAAAGTCCACTCTACAGCAGGAATAAAAACTGAATAAAACCGGGGGGAAGATTCGGATGCTGTCAAGTAATTATAATTCATTGAATTTTTGAAGATTTGTCACTCCCCTAATCCAGTCCCTGGCTCTCATCACAAATGGTAACCGAAACCACTGAAATGAGCCCAGAAGTTTGTTCCACCACACCACAGCTCCAGCAGACTTGATGCTGGGCTGGTCTTCACACTTTAAAATGAAACCAAAAACCTCTAAATAAGGTGAAAACGAGCGCTGCCTTTATTGAGCTGCTCCCCAGCTGGTCAGGCACAACGCTGGCAGGCAGCTGGGCTGGAAGCCATTCTGCAGCCCCTCCAGCACACAGGGCCAATGCAGGCAGTGGGCTCCTGGCAGCCCCCTGTGCCTGCTGAGACATAAACCTGCAATTGCTCACGTTACCATACCACTGTACCTCCTGCAGTGGGACTGCTTCAATGAGCCCAGAGCACTCCCCATCCACCTCAGCATTTTTCCAGTATCTCTGGAGACAAGCTACACGCACATCTAATACACAGGAAGCCAAACATTCTGCTGTTCCAACAAGTGCCCTTTTCCTGCTCCCCAGGCACCCCTACGTTATCCACCTCCCGGGAGCACGACACTGATGTGAATCCACCAATCACTTGCACTTTGCCATGCTCGGCTTCACAGCACAGAGCAGCCCTGGTGTGTGTGGCTCAGGTCCCTTCTGGATGCAAAGGAACCCAGGAATGGTTTCCACCAATGGCTGTTCAGTTCATGAGATCTGACCACAGGCAGCCCTACGTAAAATGCTCTGAAAAGCATTCAATGTGTACATTAGAGGCTAAGCAACTCCGATTTCATACTGCTGATCTGTTCCTACTAAGTCACACTATGTACTAACACAGAAATAGCTGTATAATCTAAACCCATTAGATATGAGCAAAGCAGCTCCCGTTTATTTCCATCTTGTTGGCGTTCTGAAATTTCAGTACAAAAGCTTGTCAGAAAGTATTAAGAGCATTTCCCTTGGAAAGTTGCAGCACAAACACCCCACTAACTGAGTTGCAGCAGTTTACCACCTTCGTGTCTCAGCTGCTAACCCAGCGCCTTCACTAGGGCTGGGGCTGCTGCAGGGCAATGTGAGGATGCACACCTGCACTTTTGCAGCTGCAGAAAGGGAACCTCTTGCCATTCCCACCTACAGTTCCCACAGCCAATTGTAAGCCAGGTCCTGGACCAAAGATGAGGATGTCAAGTTTTGCCACTCTGAAGTCAGTTGACTTTTTTTTGCATAAAACTTACCATAATGCACAACTGTGGGGCCAATTACACCCAGCAAAGTCCAAGCACAGCCAGCTTATGGGATGCAGGCTGCTCCAATCTCAGCATTACTTCCCAGTGTTAAACACCATCAAGGACGACATCAATCCCCTTGCCCAAGTCCCATGAATTTTACCCACTGGTTCTACCCTACAGCTTAACAACTCCCATTCGAGCTAGTCTCTAAAGTCATAAATCACATTTTAAAGACTCACCACCTCTGGATAATTTGCTCCAGTAACCAATTACTCTTCCTATTAAAAAAACAGCCCTTGTTTCTACTCCAGACTTCCATGGAAAAGCCAACTAATGAAGCAGCAGAAGAATGCATCCCAGTGATCAGCTTCTGCACATGGGATTAGGACTGACAATAGTGAAACCTGAATATTCAGTCTACTAGTGGGATTTTTAGGTATTCAGCATGGAAAGCAGCTACATCCAAGGGAATCACAGGCTCTGCAGCCAGTGGCAGAGGAAGCAGCTGATAGATTCATTGGATTTAACAGGATCATATTGACTGCATCAGTCATTTTGCATTATGATACTACTGCTCTGCCCAACGGATAATACATTCAGCCACAGAGCAAACATATTTAAGATCTTCATTACAAAGGGCTAGAACTGGCATTAGAAACTACACATCTCCCTCAACCCTTGGAATTTTTGTTCTTCCACCATCGGCGCTGCTTTGCTTGGAAGGCAGCACAAGCAGTCACTGTCGCATCCTTGCTCTTCCAGATCTCACAGCCAACCTCACTATTTTTTTCCAATAGCTTAAAGCAGAGAAAGAGGATTTGTATACAGAGAGGCAAAGTGGAATCACTGTCTCGGTCCACAAAGCATTCCCTTTGTAGGCCTGCCATCTGACTCAGAAACAAAACCAAACCAAGCTCTTCCTGCAGCTACCGATGTTAAAATCCAACCGCAACTAACTCATAAATGTGAGAATGTACAGCACGGTGCTGGCAGTAGACAAATGCTATCTGGAAGCAACTAGAATCAGCAGAGCACATATTACAGTGTAGTTATGCAGCCATGCTTTTACAGCTACACAACAAAAACTTCCCTTATTAATCTCAGTGTTTCACCTAAGATCAGAGAGCTATTGAGGAATAGCATTCTCCACCCCGCAGCAGTCCCTCTACAAAAAAAAAAAAAGTCATTTGCAGAGGGATTTCTGCTTCAGGTAATCTTTGAATTGTCTTCTAACCAAAGGAAGGAGCAGTGCTGTGCTTAATGCCAGTGATTGAGTAAGTGACAAATGGGTGCTTGGCATTCCGTCCTTGGGGTGGATGGGGGGAAGCCATACATCAGTGCAGGGCTGCTGAGCGGTGCTTCATGGCGAGGCATAAAGATGTAGTGCTCAGATTCGAGTCTGTCACATGCTTAATTCTCACCTTGACACCTCGCCTAATTGTGTGTCTACAAAGGACGGCCGCCCATACTGCTGTATTACCAAGAGAGCAGAGCTGCAAACTAATTCCAGGTATAACAGTGCTGATTCCAGACCACAGAATCATAGAATCAAAAGGTTGGACCTGCAAGATCATCCAGCCCAACCGTCCTCCCATCACCACTGCTACACAAACTAAACCACATCTCACAGCTCCTCATCCAGGCGCCTCCTGAACACTGCAGGACGGCGACTCCACCACCTCCCTGTGCAGCCATTGCAGTGCCTGGCCACTGAGAAAAAGTTCTTCCTTAAGTCCAACCTAAAGCTCCTCTGGTACAACTTGCAGCCATTTCCCCAGGTCCTGTTTGTTGCCTGGGAGAAGAGGCCAAACCCCTCCTCACCACAGCCGCTCTTCAGGCAGTTGTAGAGTGCAGTGAGGTCTCCTCTGAGCCTCCTCCTCTCCAAACTAAACAATCCCAGCTCCCTCAGCCGCTCCTCACAGGACTTGTGATCCAGACCCCTCACCAGTTTCGCTGCCTTTCTCTGGACACGCTCCAGGGCCTCAATGTCTTTCTTGCAGTGAGGGCCCAAAACTGAACACAGCACTCGAGGTGCGGCCTCAGCAGAGCTGAGTACAGGGGACGATCACTCCCTGCTCCTGCTGGCCACACTATTTCTAGTGCAGGCCAGGATGGCGCTGGCCCTCATGGCCACCTGGGCACATTGTTGGCTCGTGTTCAGCCAAGCATCAACCAACACCCCCAGGTCCCTTTCCTCTTCACAGTCATCCAGCCTATAACACTGTAACCATGAAGGGCAGGTGATGGAGCATGATGCACAAATTTCAGCAGAGTTTACCTATCTGATACCTGATGTTTGAGGAGACAGTAGCATCCGGGCTTGTATCAGACATGAGTGTTAAGGAGTCTCCAATAGCCACAGCTAAGCACTGAAATATAGGGGTTGCACAGCATATCTGTTGGTACAGCAGCAACCTAACCCATGTGACACCCAGCCACACCTGTGCTAGCCTCCTCCGCCTTATCTGCACAGCAAGAAGGCAAAAAAGCAGCAGCTGATTCTCCATGACTCCCAGCATGCTGAAGTTCAGGAACAACCACCATGCCATCTCCACACATACAGGAGCTGTGTGCACAGGTGCAAATCCCAAGTGCCTGCAGCGCCCACGCCTCCATCCTCCGCACCAGAAGCACGAAGAGGTTGCCCAGCCCATGCCAGCATCAAGTGCCATTAGCCTGTTTGTGGGACTTAATGCACCAGGAAGGCTTCCACCAGATGTCAGCCTAACTAAATGACAATGCTGGCCTCGGGGTGCAGCTCTGCTTCGAGTGCATGTGTTTAGCAAGGACCAGCTCTGCTGCTGCACAAGCCAGGTAAGGGAGAGGGCTCTTTGGTCCTAAAGCACTTATTCTGAAGAAAGCCATATTTCCTCTTTTCCTCCAAGTTTTAGAGGTGCAGATGCCACCTCAAAGCGCCTGTTCTGGCGGGAGGCTCCAGATGGCACTCGTCCGTGGCTTCCCTTGGCATGCAAGCAAGTTTGCAGTCTCAGAAGAAATGCAATGGTGAGAATTAAGCAGGCAGCTGGAGCCTATTCTCAGCCTACTGCACCTCGGCACCCCAGACAGTCCCCAGAGCACAAGGCGAATATCAGCACAGTTTCAGGTTTAAAAGGAATCGGAGGCATGCCTTCAGTAATAGCTGTTGGCTCACGACAAGCACGCACAAAAACAGGTTTATGCTGAGAAAAGCGCCCATAAAGCTCGCATTCACTGTTTCCCAAAGAGGAAACTCACTGGCAAGGTGCTAAATAGCCCTTGTTTGGTTACAGGCCAGAGAACCAAGAGCTTCAGGAAGGCAGCAGCTTACCGTGTGTGAGCAGCAACTCCCAACGCCGTGCCAGATTACACAACCTTCACGTGGGAGGAACCTACCAACAGGCATGGATGCGAAAAAGCAGAACCCTTCCAAAAGGTACCCAAATTTGGCCACTGGGTAATAATGGAAAGAGTGGCACAGCAGGATAGTAATTTTTCATCTGGGAGCTTTTTCAATTTTCTTAAATGACACCTTAGGAACATTCCTTAAAAGATTGTGTTATCATATTGATGTGCTATTAACATTCAGATCAGCGCTGGGGTCAGGACAGAGCACCAGATGAGTGCTGAGAAGCACAGATACAGGCACGTTGCTGCCGTACTCCCCCAAGGCAATGGGCAGCTCAGGCTGGATTTCGGCTGCGTACTTCTTGCGCAGTGAATATTAACTATGGAAAAACTCTTGGAATAGGTCCGTGTCATTTCTTTACATGTGTTCCTTTCAGTCTAGAGCAAATGCTGGAATATTTACAGCAGCAGAACAATTTAACACATTCACCTAGCACTGCCCGGTTTAACATTAAAAATAGCTGCGTTATTTATTTTTGTGTTTTGTGGGCTTTTGCTTTTCTTTGTGCCTTTGTGTTCTCCATCCCTCCGTTTCATTTAACACCTCCCCTGTGGGGACAGCCACAGGTCCAGCACTGCAGCCAGGGGCACAGCTGCACTGTATGACAAAGAAAGAAAAACAGGCAGGAACCAGCAAGGCCGAGGTTAAATAAGGAACTAAAGTTTAATAATGAAGCTAAATGACCGTTGTCTTCTCAGACCTCCTCTGACACAATTAATCTCCCTCCCTGCTAGCATGGGGAATTTGCTATTCTCAGCTCAGCCCTGTCCCGAGGCCATCACTGACACCTCACTGGCACAGGGCAAGCATCGCCGAGCACCTCATGCTGTGCTGCTGCCACGTGTCTCAAGGTGACAACCAGGTCCCATAGGACAGTCTGCTTTGGGCAGCAGAAGCTGTGATGTCCCACCACGCAGCCCTGGACCAGGCTGTGGCCCTGCAGGGCTGCTGGCACCACGGCCCAGCTCAGGACTCTGCATGCTGGCTGCAGGTCCTGCCGACACCGTGGGTCCCGGCCCCTGTTCAAGGGCTGTGAGCTGCAGGGAACCCCAGCTGTAAATGCAACTTGCTCTCCTACACTTTGGTACGCAGCAATAAGCGACACAAAAGCCAGGGTTTGCAAGGAAAAAAAAAAAAAAAGATGGATTTCCTCATTTCATAACTGCAAGCTGTCAAGCTAGATTCCAATTAATATTTTTCTTTTCCTGTGCTCTAAGGTAAGCTTTGCTTTTTTCCAGAATTTTCCCAGTGCTCCAAACACATTTCTCACCGCAGGGACTCCACCGCGCGCCCCGACAGCGCTCCTGTCCCAAAAAGCACTCTCCTCCTGCCCGTGCTCCTGCAGGGACCTGGAGCTGCCCCACCTCCCTGCAAAGCACTGCTTATCAGCGCCCTCAGTCCAAGTCGGGCACACTTCACATCCCCGAGCATCCCAGCGCAGCCGGGTTGGGCAGGCAGCCGGCAGCAGCGAGGCTCCAGCTGCAGCTCTGCGCTGCCCACAGTGAGCGCAGCCAGCAGGAATGCAGGGGGGGAGCGGGGCGGTGCAAGGCTCTCCGGCTCCTCGCATCGCCGGGGCGAAGGGCTCTAACAGTTGATTTTTTTTTTTTTCCCCCCTCCTCGATCAGTGGTCTCAAACACGATCGCGGTATGCAGCACAATGCTTTAAAACAGCAAAGCTTCTGGAAAACCCAAACAAAAGGAACGTCAGCAGGTGACGTCAGCCTATATACAGCCCTGCGTGGTCGCGGCGCATAAGCAAACCCATTCTTGTGCCGCTTCCCTGAAAAGCTTTTCAGTAAATGCACTCATGCTACTCCAGGAGCTTCTCTCAGCAATAAGCCACCCATCTGCCATCAACAAGTTAGGACTAAAGGAACCCACAGCTGCGGAAAAAGAAAACGTGAGCTTCGATTAAACAGCCGAGCAGCCGCCGAGGAAGAAAACTTCTATTAAGCATCGACTTGAAAACTGCAGACCTGTCAGAGGAGATCACGCCGGCGCTTTCAAAAGGAATATTCTAAGAGAGCACGGTGGATTCAATTTTGCACTAATTTCAAAGGACCCTAAACCAGTAAATTATTCACAGGCTATCTCGCGTTAGAGCCTTTCACAGACTCACCGTGTTGAGTCTCAAACTACGACTGAATGCAACCTCCAATGTACTCAAAAGAATGGGTAAGTGTGTGCCTTTCTCTCTCCCTTGTCTAATGAATGATGGCTGTGTGTTAAGGCAGCGGCGAGGTGCTACAGCACGCTTTGCTGGGGTGAACCTTGTGAGAGAAATGTGTTCTGATTGTGACGCTGTAACCCTCCGTAATGCCGATAAAGACTCATCCTAAGTGTAATAGCTGGTATTCTGTGTGTAGTACTAAGTTGTTTCTTGCATTTAGAATAAGCTTTTCGGAAATGCATGGAAATGTTATCTGCAGTGAAATCTTCCACCGTGATGTTCAAAGTATACTGATAAGGATATCCTATCTTGTTGTTTTCCTAAATTATATTCTGCAGGCTTACATTTCAAGTGGCCATTAGGGGCTCGTATGCTGGCAGCACTATATGCAATGAGCATGGTTTTAAAAATGCTGCCTGCCTTGGGCATGGCTTGTCCACCAAAATGTCGCTGTGAGAAGCTGCTCTTTTACTGTGACTCTCAGGGGTTTCACTCAGTGCCAAACACCACTGAAAAGGGCTCTCTAGGTTTGTCACTGAGGCACAATTTTATTACTGAACTTGAAAGGGATCAATTTGCGAGCTTCAGTCAACTTACTTGGCTTCACTTAGATCATAATCAAATTGCAACAGTCAGAGAAGATTCTTTTCAAGGACTGTATAAACTTAAGGAATTAGTCTTAAGTTCCAACAAAATCTTTCATTTGCCAAACACCACTTTTAGCCAGCTGCTTAACCTGCAGAATTTGGACCTCTCTTTTAATCAGTTGTCCTCTCTGCACCCTGAGCTGCTCTACGGCCTCCGCAAGCTGCAGACCTTGCATCTGCGCTCCAACTCCCTGCGGACGATCCCCGTCCGCCTGTTCTGGGACTGCCGTAGCCTGGAGTTCCTGGATCTGAGCACAAACCGCTTGCGAAGTTTGGCTCGCAATGGCTTTGCGGGATTAATCAAGCTGAGGGAGCTGCACCTAGAGCACAACCAGCTGACAAAGATTAATTTTGCTCATTTCCTCCGGCTGAGCAGCCTGCACACTCTCTTCTTGCAGTGGAACAAAATTAGCAACTTGACGTGTGGGATGGAGTGGACCTGGGGCACCTTAGAAAAGCTCGATTTGACTGGAAACGAGATCAAAGCCATCGACCTAACAGTTTTTGAAACTATGCCTAACCTTAAAACCCTCCTCCTGGATAACAACAAGCTCAGCACGCTGGACTCCAAGATCCTGCGCTCGCTGCCGTCGCTCAGCACCGTGGGGCTCTCGGGCAATCTGTGGGAATGCAGCGCCCGGATCTGCGCGCTGGCCGCCTGGCTGGGAGCCTTCCGGGGCCGCTGGGAGCATCCCATCCTCTGCCACGGCCCCGACCACGCCCAGGGAGAGGACATCCTGGACGCCGTGCACGGCTTCCAGCTCTGCTGGAACGCATCGACCGCCGCCCCGTCCGCGGCACCGACGAACGCTCCCACCACCGAGTACACGAAAGGAATCAGCTCCTCTCATTTCCATATGGGAGACAAAGAAATCCCCACCACGGCAGGCATGGTCGTCACCACCGAGGAACCCTTCCCCGAGCCAAACAATGCCATCTTTACTCAAAGGGTAATTACAGGGACAATGGCTTTATTGTTTTCTTTCTTTTTTATCATTTTTATAGTGTTCATCTCCAGGAAATGCTGCCCTCCCACATTAAGAAGAATTAGGCAGTGCTCAATGATTCAAAACCACAGGCAGCTCCGATCCCAAACGCGGCTACATATGGCAAATATGTCAGACCAAGGACCGTACAATGAGTACGAACCCACCCACGAAGGACCCTTCATCATCATTAACGGCTACGGACAATGCAAGTGTCAGCAGCTGCCATATAAAGAATGTGAAGTATAATACCTAAAATTAAACCAGATAAGTAACCTATTTTAAAATTGTAGGGGACCTACAGCAGATTCTAATTTTTACAAATGTTGACGTAAAGCCTAATTTTCCAAGCTACTCAATGGAAGCATTGTTTATGGAGTGGTGCAGTATTTTTAAGTTTGTTTTTTTTTTTTTTTTAATAAATCCATAATATTTTCAGTGTTAAAGAAGCAATGATCACATTAAACTTGCACTCCTAGTGTTTAAAAGTCTAAAAAGATGCTCACCTCAAACTATGTAAAATGTTCCATGTTATGTAACTGTGTGTACCATTTATACCCAAGTCTCCACACTCCAGTTTCCCCAGTAAAATCAGCCCGGGTGGAAGGAGGGAGGATGTCTGCACAGAGACCTGCAGAGGAACATACACTGCATTTGTTCCCCTGCAGCTGTGCGATGCCAAACATCCCAGCTGGCTCTGCTCAATTCAGAGGCATGCTGGAGGAAGGCTTTCCTCCTCTGATCATTTCCACTCGAGTAAAAAGGGGAGAGGGAAAAAAAAAAAAAAGAAGTGACCAAGGTTCAGGTGGGGATTTAGATGCACTGGGGACTGGCAAATTAATTTTTAAGACAGTTTTCCTACCTCCATGCTCACAGTTTGGCTTGCTTACACATACCTTGCTGGAGCTCGCAGCAAACGCAGGCAGGAGCAGCTCACACGGCCACCAATTAACCAGGATGGCTCTCCAGGCACTTGCAGAGTACCTGGCGGTGCTTAATTAGGAAGGTTGGTACGATGATCTAAATGTTACAGGCGTTCAAATCCGACCAGCTCTCTGCTTTGCCTTGATAATGCTTTTCATGCATTCGGGCTAATGACTTACGCCTACGAACAAACAGCACTTCCACACCTTTTCATGTGTAAATACCCTTAACACAAGTTTTTCTTAATTAAAAGTAAATATCAACCGGAGGTTAAGAAAGAGAGAAGGAAGAAACCTCTCTTTGTCGTCCCCCCCTCTCCCCCCTCAGGCTTCCTCTTGCTGGGAGCTATTTTCATGCACTAACTCCACGGTTTCTCTGGAGACAGAATTAGCCCCTGTAATATAAGCTCTCACTTGTCCTCCTCTTCCAAAATTCAAGGTAATTACCAGCTCAAAGCTGGTACCTTCCGATACGTTAGGATAATGATTAGTTTATAGAACAGTTCACAAAAAAATGTTTTGTTTCTCATTCAATGTGGGACAGAATCTAAACTAGTATGCCATTACAAAATTCTTATATAAATATATATACACACGCACCTCATTCTTCAGGAGTAATTTGATTTCTTTAACCAGAGGTATCATATTGCTATTTATACTATATTATGAAATGATATGTAAATATTTGCAGATCTATGCAGCGACAGTGGTACTGAGATGCCATGGGGGAGGGCGGGGGGGTCTGCAAAGGATTACGTTATTTTTAAGTCAACTGCTCAAATGTTGTAAACGTTCTAACCAAAGTTAAAAGGACCAGAGGGATGGAATTTTTTTAATATATATATACATGTATGTATAACTAAAAAATGTGTTGTGTCCAATGCTGCAGTGTTAAACAATTACCAGCAAACACGGATGAAGAGAAATTCCTCACAGTGTCAACATACCTTGAACGAATCAGTAATTACAGTATGCTAATTGTGTTGTACTAAACTATTCCGCAAACTTTCTGAACAGAAAAATCACTGCATAAAAATCTGTTCGCTATTTCACTCCGCTTTTATATATCTGTATTACCACTTAGTGAGGTATTTAGGGTGCAATTATACAAGTTTGATGTTTTATTGTGAAATGAATTCGTCCGAGGCAACTATAGCAAGATAAGTGTGACTTCTGTTCAGATTTTACATAAAGATTTTTTCAATTACTGGTTTTGAAGATATTAATTTGCATCATTTTACTTTTACGGTGCCCTTATTATAAAACAAATATTTTGTGTACTTCCTACGACTTTGTACTTTAATAGAAGAGGTTCAGAGAAGACTATGATTTTCCATAAAGTTCTCTTTGAACCCCCTTAACTGTTTATAATACGACAACCCAATTTGCATCCATTCTAGGAAATCAACTGTTGCTTTTTCTGCTTTTACTGCTTTTAACTGAATATAATAAATCCTGTGAGGCAGGTGGACAGGGAGAGAATATGAGTGGTGGCAAGGCCCAGGCACAGGCTGCCCAGAGGAGCTGTGGATGCCCCATTCCTGGAGGTGCTCAGGGCAGACTGGTGTGGTATCAGATTCAGTGGTCAGCAACCCTGAACTAGGCGATCTCTGAGGTCCCTTCCAACCCAAGCTGTTCCACGATTCATGGTTCTGAGATTCCATACGAATACAACCCTTGTGATTCAGCCCTAAGCCAATACAAAACCTTAGTGTATGGCTGACTGTAGGAAGACTTGCTTCCTTCCCAGCAGTCAGTGCCCAGGGCTCTTCCCTCAGCCCCAGGCTCCAGCTGGGCTTGGCAGAGCACATGCAGCAGCCTGTCCTGCTGTGCCACCCTTACTGTGTTGGCTGACCCCATGCCTGCACCAAGGGTACCAGGGAGCAGCAGTGGTTTCCATGGAGGCACCAGCAGAGACAAAGTTCTGACTTAACTCATGACTCAACTTTCAGTGCCCATAACATTAATCTTAGTGCATCACCACCACCCATCAGATGGCAGCACTGAACACCAATGTCCAAGCTGTGTGCAGGACAGCATCCCACCTTCCTGTCCCACGTGCAGCCAGCCCAGAGCTGGGAGCTCATAAGGCACGGAGCCAGGTTGGATGGGACCCTGGGCAGCCTAATCTAGTGGCTGGCTACCCTGCCCATGGCAGGGAGATTGGAGCACAACGATCTTTAAGGTCCCTTCCAACTCAAATCTTTCTAAGATTTCCTGACTGCAGCATCAGGTCCCTCCCATGGCAGTGTCTTTCCAGTGCCCCAGAAGCCCCCTCTGTCTCTAACAGCTTGTAATTCTGCCCCAGCAGAGTACAGACTGATGTTCCAGCTGGGTGCTCCACTTCTCCCATCCATCCATCGTCCCAGTTTTGCTGGTTCCGCAGGCTCTGCTGGCTGGGGGGCAAGGAGCCCACCCATGCTGCTTCGCTCAGCCCCACTCACGTTTACACTCCAACATGCAGCTGCTCTCCCAAATGCTGTGGTTTATACCTGCCATTTCCTAAACCATTTGTTGCCAGGTTCCAGGCGTGAGCAAAGCAGTTCCAGAAACATCACATTTAGGGTAACAGGTACAATAAAACCCGCACAATGTCAAACGCGAGCAGCAAAGTCAACTTGAATTCCCTTGGGAGGGACAGCAAACTGCAGGCACAGCCATCGCCCTACACAAGGGCACCGTGAGAGGTTGTTAATCCTTTTTGGTTGTTTTAAAGTTACTGTCTTCCATTCTCAATGGCTTGTGACTCTTCCAAACAAAGAGAGGATTATAATAATTGCCTTAGTCAGCAGTCTGATTTATTTTGTTTATGGAAGACGAAGCAGGATGATTTGGCTTAAGTTAAGTGTTTTTCAGGATGAGCACTGACTGATGAAGAGGTTGTTAAATTCTTCTCTGAGACTATCACCTCTACTGCACAGCCTTGGTTTCTGCAGATACTCAATTAGGGGGAAATTCTTTACCCAGAGGGCACTGAGGCCCTGGCACTGCTGCCCAGACACATGGTTGCCCATCCCTGGAGGTGCCCAAGGCCATGGATGCAGCCCTGGGTAGCCCGAGCTGGTGGGGGGCACAGCAAGGATTGAGGAGGCTGCAAGGTTGCTTCCAACCATTCTGTGATTCTAAGATAAATGACAGAGGTGCCTTACCACCTCTAGGTACAGCATCACACAAACCTTCAGGGCCGTTTAGAAATGGAAATTTGTTCCACTGCTCTAGGATCCCTGTGCCACCTGAAGACATCCCCCAGCCTCCCTGATTGCCTCTGCTTCCATTCCCCACCCTCGTGCCAGCGAAATGCAAACCAGGCAGTACAAGTTCCATTTGAGTCATCGTGTTGGAACAGGTCTGAATTAATGCTTTCAGCTCCCCTCTTGTTAGTCGCTCTGCATTAGATCATCGTTTAAATGCATACAACCAAGAATTACTTGATCGAGAGTAAAACGGGTTAGCGCTGAGCCTCCGATGGGAGCGCTCCTCTGCCAGCACAGCTCCCACTTCCATCAGAAGGAAACATAATTAATGCTGCTGAATCAATGTTGGGTTTTGTTTTGCTGCAGAAGTTATGTGATTTTTCAGAGATAAGCCCAGCCTGCACGCAAAGCCCAGCATCTGAGCCTGTATGCCCCTTCAAAGGCTGCAGTCTATTGCTGACATGTAAACCAGAAACATCCAGTGGCTTTAATCAGAAGTCTGCACTACATTCTTGGTTTTTAATGTGCCTAAGTTAATTTCTGTACTACTTTAATGAAAATAAAGTTGATTTAATTTTGTGAGCTGCACAGCTATTAAAATCCATCTGTTCAGACCTATGATGTCTACTGAGAAAGCTGAATTTCATCTTAAGCTTTACATAAAAATTAGGGAGTTCAGAAAGGAACACAGAACTTCTCCCCTAGTAAAAAGAACAAAAAAAAAAGAAAGCACAGAAACAGCAGCAGAACCTGAAGGCAGCTGCACAGAAGCAGATCCTTCCTCCCATGCCCTTCTGCACTGCACAGAGTCCCAAGCCCTGGAAGTGAGGACAGATTTTCCTTTTTAAGCCATGGTGCTAGTGGGATGCTTGGAGATCATTTTAGTCACCTGGAAATGTAGCATTTCACACCTTGAACAAAAATCTTTTCTGAGAGGTATTCAGGGAGAGGTGTCAGCAGCTTTGATGGATATAGCCAACCTCAGACAGGGCAAAACTCATGTTTTTTTAAGGACAAAACACCACACGGCTCATGCACCTGTGATGTACACACAAACCTCCACCTGCCAGCCCTCAGCCACTCATTTGTTAAAACAAACCCTAAAGTCAAAACAAAAACAGCACCCTGTTTTGCTTCTCACCCTCATGAAACATAAGCGAGTGAACTATTCTACCAGCTCAGCAACGAGATGGAGAGCCCTCAATGCACTGTATTGAAATTATAGTTAAAGAGCCAGTTCCTGATGGGAGGGGGGGTGTAAGTAATGGAATAAAAAGAAGTGCAGTGTACAGAAAATTTTTGTTATTAAAATTGTGTATACTGTAAAACTGGATTTGCCTCTTTTTCTTTTTTTTTTTTTTCCTCCTTTTTCAAGCAGAGGTGTCCAACTGTGTACATCCATTGGGGTCTAAGAGCACACCAACAGCATCCCAAGCCAGCTTTGGGCCAGTCCCCGTGCTGTAGCCACGGCAGCCAGCAGGACCCATGGGCACAGCCCTGGGCCACCTGGCAGAGCTGTGGCAGTGCCAGCAGGAGCCTGTCCCCAACAGCAGCACCGCCCTCCCAGGAACCACACCACGCAGAAGTGTCAAACCACAGCACATCTCCCTGGCTTTGAATTATTACAGCCTAGGAAGTGACAGAGAGATACAGACCCCTACAAGCATCCT